GGGGGGGGGGGGGGGGAGCGAGGGCACAAAGCCAGCCCCTAGGGCGATCTGCGCAAGCTCTCCGCAAACACTGCTTGAGATTGATAACGGCCACGTAGCCACCGCAGAATCCATTATTCGAATACCCGCAACAGAGATATATCACGTACTTCGCGTTACGTACCCTATCAAAGATTAGACAGAGCCATTCGTTTTCGGTTGACTCCCGCACGCGCGCACGCCTCAAGCACGACGCGTCTCGTTTCGTCCTTCGTGAGCCGACCGTTTTTAAGAGAGACCCATCGATCCCTTCTTCCCCTTCGCGAGGAAAAAAAGGGAGGAACAACGATGGAACAACAACGATATCGAGTATTGTTCGCACGTTGTGCGATTATCGGGAAGAACCGCGGGATATTTCTCGCGCGTGCATCCGTTACAAGTCTTAGCGACATTCTTGTCTCAGGGGGAGAGCCGCGTCTCGGAGAGCCCCACTGTGCCGCGAAATACGCGTCGTACGGGACGGGACGCAAAAATAATACGTTTACATATCGCATCGAGTCAGCAGCTGGGTGGCGGAGACCACACGCGGTTAAAGAGAAAGTCCTAGCCACGGAGTGTCAAGTGGTGCGCGATTAGAGTTCCCCGTGTCTCCACGTCTCTCTCTCTCTCTCTCTTTTTTCCTATCTCCCCCCTCTCTCTGTCACCGAACGTAACTGTCCCGGCGGATTGCTCCGGGGTTGCATCGCCACGACAATGGGCGACGTGATGTAACAACATGTGTCGCGTTCGCAAGGGGGTCCCCTCGCTGAAGCTCGCAAGAGCTCCGCGCCGTAGGGTGTACCCCCATAGAATGGGATACCACTTAGCAGCCCGGCGGCGGTATACAACAAACAGATTAAGCGTCGGACAATAATGGACCCGCCGCTCTTCTCCAATACACTCGGACGCCCACGTGAACTCTCCCTCCCGGTCGTTCCGGCGAGCGCCGAAATCTCCGCACGCACAGAGGAGCATGCGGCGTACGAACGACCGGCGAAGGAAAAAAGCTCCACCTGTGTGCCACGATGCATCCCGGGACACCCGGCGATGAGGCGCGAGTCCCATCGTTCCCGGCCGCGACGCCGCTGGTGAAGCGAATAAATAAACGCGAAGATGATGCCTGTGCAATAATATACCTCCGACAGTTCGTGATGTATGTGTCTTGCTTAGAGTAAAACTCCAACAATATCGAGGCTGATTTTATCGCCGAAGGAACGCGATTTTTTAATAAATTTAATAAGTAAAAACGAGGCGGTCGAAAGTAGTACGACGAATTTTGCTTCGAATCGAAAGTATTGGCGAAAGTGTTGTGTAAAGTTGATCAGACGTTAAATGTTTCTTACGATTGAAGAATGTTTTCAAAATACTCGATGTTAATTTCGTCCTTTCTCTAGATGAACATACGAACACGCGCAGAAATGCAAAGATTCAACAACAACAGAAGCAACGTTTTTTCATATCTTAGCGTGATGTCGACATTTTCTTTCCCAAGATAGAATTTTATATTTTTATATTTTGAAGCAATAAGTACCCTAATTATTATTTTTTACGAGAGAAAGGTAGATGTCGGTAATATGTAGAGTTAGATTCGTTTGTATACGGACAAAACAGGTCTCCGACGCAGAAATCGGACGATGTCAACCAGATTTAATAGTAAAACATGGAACAACTAATTATGTAGTTATTGCAATCATAGTACAATTGTTGAGCGACTTGTGTTGCAGCAGTGACGGGTTTCTCCAACCGGACTTTCTTGATACACCAACTACAAATGTTTTTAATGACAACTGCCTCATTTGGTAGGTTTAGATAAGATTTCTTACAAATAAAAACATAAAATAAGTCGTGGTTACCTGCCAGTAACCGCGAAAGCTGTTTTATTATACCTCTTACCGTTTTTCTCGGTCATCTATCCACTTTAGT